ATACATCTTAACATTTTTCTGTGCGCTTTGATCTCCCCTGAGTCACACTGTTGGTCGGCAGAACCAACCACACACAACACAGAAAATATTGGAATTTGTCAGATCTTAATATGGACACGCAAGGGTTTGAAAATGAAATTAACTAACTCTTAGGATTGGGGGAAAATAATATCAATAAAATAAAACAAATAAAATCAGTAATGTTTGAGGCCGTGCTCAACTCATAGGACGATGTGTGCGATCATTGTTACTGTAAGTTAGTACCTATTAAATGTCGTGGTCATATCGAGAGAGAAATCTACATGGCATTGCTGTTAATTTTAGTACACATCGTTTCGAACAGCTCTGCTCCACTGATGATTTAGGAGACATTCACTGAGAATTCGGAACTATTTGGGACTAACACCAGTACACGTGTCAGCCGACTTGAATTCATATTATGGATCATAGATTAATCATGGTACATAGATTAATTATGGTACATAGATTAATCATGGTACATAGATTAATTGTGGTACATAGATTAATTATGGCACATAGATTATGGCACATAGATTAATTATGGTACATAGATTAATTATGGTACATAGATTAATTATGGTACATAGATTAATTATGGTACATACATTTATTATGGAGCACTCGTGTCAACAGACTTGAATTCTTATTATGGTACACAATTAAATGGAATTAAATAATTAAATAGATTAATTATGGTACATAGATTAATTATTTTACATAGATTTATTATGATACACAGATTAATTATGGTACATAGATTAATTATGATACAAAGATTAATTATGGAACACACGTGTCAACCGACTTGAATTCACATTATTGTACATAGATTCATTACGGTACATAGATTCATTATGGCATATAGAATAATTATGGTACATAGATTTACTATGGAGCACCCGTGTCAACTGACTTGAATTCATATTATGGTACAGAGATTAATTATGGCACATAGATGAAGTACGGTACATAGAATAATTATGGTACATAGATTAATTGTGGTATATAGATTAATGATGGTCCATAGATTAATTATGGAACACACGTGTCAGCCGACTTGAATTCACATTATTGTACATAGATTAAGTTTGGTACATAGATTAATTATGGAATACGCGTGTCAACCGACTTGAATTCATATAATGGTACATAGATTAAGTTTGGTACATAGATTTATTATGGTAGATAGATTAATTATGGTAGATAGATTAATTATGGAGCATACGTGTCAACAAACTTTAATTCATATTATGGTTCATCGGTTAATTATGGTACATAGATTAATTATGGTACATAGATTAATTATGGAGCACACGTTTCAGCCGACTTGAATTCCTTTTATGGTACATGGATTAATTATTGTACATAGATTATTTATGGAGCAGACGTGTTCAGCCGAATGTAACAAGAATACACGTGCCCATGTCTACATAGATAGTCTATCATTCGGTTGAGCGGTATAAATTACCTTGGATATTGTTTCACTGGCTTACAGGGAACTTGAAATGAATATACGTGGTCGTGTGAATAAACTGGTTCATTTATATTTATCAAACCACCTTCATTCTGTTTTAACCCATCAACTACTGAACAAAACAAGTAATGTTTATTTAATTGAGTAATTATATCTAAATATTTCAGCACTTCTGACAAGATATACTCAGATAAAAATGTTTCTTACAATATGGTGTCTAATGTCTCTACTTAGATTAATTTGTATTACGCCATAACGTATGCATTGAGATGAGGAGTCGACACAGTAATTGAACAGTGATCGTGATTTCGCTGCTGTCTGTCTAAACTTGATTTTGACCAAGCATCCGACGGCCTACAGTATCACAAAAATGGAATAGATTTCAATGTTCCCATTTGCCCCTTCACACTACAACTTGAGTAATGACTGAAGTAAAACATTTTGTGAAGGTGATTCATTCTTGGACTGGCCACCAAACATTGCAGGCTGCTTTCAGGTCATCCATCCTCCTATTTATCAGTTAATAAAGCTTACAAAAAGGAAAAATATCTATTTATTTTGAGAAATAAGCTACATACTATGGAGAAAAATATTTTTTTCGAAAATTAAAATATTAAACCAATTTTCTAACTGTTTCTTTCTCAAAACTTTGAGATATATGTGAAATATATTTGCAATGTGAAAACATACAGGTATAAAAGGGTCATGACGCATAACGTATTTGCAACATATTTTGACAAACTGTAAGCATTATGAAAACATTTGTCCCACCTGCGGATAAGTTTCGCCAGCAGAGGTTCCTCACTCAAATGGGGGTACGTAAGTCCCAAAACATTCAAAGTAAATTTAAACATACCATTATTTTTAAGCGTAGAATATGTGTTATTTTAACTTATGGCTAAATCGTCTAAACTTGCTGACGGCTGAAGGGATGGTGTAAATCCAGCTAGGGTCCATGCAGGAAGCAAATGTACTATAAGTCCCCATGGTCTCTAGTATGGTGATCTACCTTCAGTCGTTAGCAATCTACAGCCTGTTTTTATATTGTATGTCATTTATAGTTCCAATATTTTAGATTTAATTGCTAGTTTTAAATCGATATCTGTGATACACTAGTAGTTTTACTGTTCTTCGTCAACAGGTTTTTTAATTTCTAACTTTATTCACCTTTCATATAATTATAAAATGTTCTCGTCACGATATGGCTGAAATATTGCCGATGTGACGATAAATTTTAACTCACTCACCCCTCACTCAAAAAAAGTTCAGCTTTTCAATCCACAATGAGTAACAAAGGCGTATCATGACATGTAATGTTACTAAGACAATGAGAATGAAACCAAACTGGCATACAAGAAGATAACTAGAATATTCGCATATACTTCTTCAAAACACATCGAGGTTATTACATATGTAAGAAAAGCCGTTTTGATCTAATAGAAATGCGACCTTAATTTCTTAATAAGAATTTAGGGTGAGGGCGGTGGCAGTTGCTAAGACATATCCAAACATGAACCGTTTTCCTCTGATACATACTGTAAAATAAAACATATATGTATGTATATCTACCTAATCATATTAATAAAGCCTTAGTGCAGCATAATAAAACGTTGCCACGTTACTTTCTGACAGGTCAGTCCAACACTTCAACAATATTGATTGGAGTTCTGAGACTTGCTTTGTCTTGTGCCGTGTTTGTTAACTAGAAACATCAAAGTAAATCACTATTGGGAGGGCACTTCGACTTGTCATTTAAAAAAACACCTTTCATTTCATAATAAAACATGAACATCAATAACTGATAGATAAACGAAATTAATTATTCTTTTTATACATGTTTTTTAATATTACGACCGCACACCCATCAATTAAAAACACTAATCCATAAACTAAGTAATGATGTAATAAAAAAGACAGACCTAATGGTGTTCATTTGGGTTATGGTTTTGCATTTGTAACAATTCTACTACCCGGCCGTAACGTGTAACAATTCTACTACCCGGCCGTAACGTGTAACAATTCTACCACCCGGCCCTAACGTGTAACAATTCTACTACCCGGCCGTAACGTGTAACAATTCTACTACCCGGCCGTAACGTGTAACAATTCTACTACCCGGCTGTAACGTTAACGCACGAAGACGTAACATATGCACATTCAAGAGTATCATGGAACTGGTCTGGGGAGTTCTGTAACATATTTCCACGTGTACAGCACCTCATTCCACACGTACCATCACAGGTATCGTTATCAACAAGGGAGAGACAAACCTGGTGTATTCTAAATCATATCTGCAAAAATATATATGGGACTGGTCACAAGCACGAGATACAGGGTGCACGTAACTCGCACTCCTTTATGGTGGAGACAGCAAGACGCAGGCCGCTGTACATGTCTGTTTGCAGGCAGTGATCACTGGATTATTCTAAATCTACGGGCACGGGTTTGCAAATCCTCAAGTCTAGATGGATCAAAATGATGGTACAAAAATTTCAAAACCTCTATATACAGTCGCCAATAAAGCAACATCTGCAGTGTATCAACAGTTGAGATACATAATTCTCCCAGTTTCACACACACTGCCCCAGTTAAACTTGGTATATACTTAGTACGTGGAACATATGCAGTGCGTAACAAGAAGGCATACAGAACATGATTTGCCGGGCAAAACAAAAAACGGACAGTCGAGGGTCGATGTATATTTGATGCGGGTATGATAATTGTGTTTTGAGCCTTAGATTTGCAGTGATACGGCAGGTGTAAGTCCAGTAACATTTCCACAACGTTTGTGCTTATTTGATCAAATCCATTAACCAAGCGTATACTTTCTGCTGCCCGGTATTGTAGAGCCTATTCTGTTTTCGGTAAAATATAATACAAAATGCAGCCGTTTCCTTTGAAGAGGTGGGTAAATATCTCCCTACTGGTGTATCTCCATCTGACCTGAGGAGCGGCGTAGAACTGTGACAGTAGGCATCGATAAAATGTGGCCTGTGAGTTCGGGAGATTACACACGTAATTACATTATACCAATGGGTTTTCACAATCTTTAATCTATCCCCACCCCACATCTACAACCTACCCCTACCCCACATCTACAACCTACACCTACCCCACATCTACAACCTACACCTACCCCACATCTACGCCATTTCCAACCTACCCACACACATCTACCATCTACAAACTACCCCACTCCACATCTAAGCCATTTACAAACTACCATACTGAACTTCTACACCATCGAAACCCCATCCCTCCCCACCCCACACCCTCACCACGAAACTACATCTATAACATCTTCAACTACACTTATCCATCACACCATCTATAACCATCCCCACCCCTATTCATGTACCATCTACAATCATCCCCACCCCCTGCATCGTCTACAACCACCGCCCATCCCACCCATGAATAAAGAACCCACTTCTACTTGGGCCCGTACACCACCACGTTACTCCCACCCTACCCTCTCATGTTTACAACAGAGTGCATTATTCACCTGCTAGTTCCGTGCCTGACACACCAGGGTCGACCTCGGGGTCGCTGTCTCTCTCGTCTGCCTTATCTTCTGACGAACAGAGGTTCTCCTCTTCCTGCCGCTTCAGGATATTGTCAATTGAATGCTTGAAGGGCGGTTTTCCTTCAGAAATTACGCTTCTTCTAGACATGGACAGATCCATCGCGTGCTAGGCTCTCGTAAGGCACCGCTTCCACTCAGTGTAAATCAGGTTAAATCAAACTAACTGTGCCGTGATTGCAACATGGGTCCATTCTTGAAATAAAAAATACTGGAGTCAAAGAATGGTGAGTAGGCATCCAACACTTGTCCCGTCACTGAATACTGAAGACTGTTCCCACTGAATTTACTGTAATATCTTCAATTTGGAAAGTCTTCACCAACAATAAGATCAGTTCTAATTGCGACCTCGTCTTCGTCTCTCAAGCCGCTGCAAACTGGTCCTTTGAAAGTTCCTGCAAGATTGCCACTTTAACGACAAAAGAAGTACTGCATCCCGTAGAAGACCATATTTTCACAACAATATCTGACTTGCTGGTAAATCATCAGTAACTGCACTCTTTAAGACTACTTCAGTTGAATGTAAAGCCGAGATGTGTAATCGACTGCTGGTGTCGTCTGATGACAAGTATCGTCTGCTCCGAGTCGTCTGCTACAACACGGATACGCCGTCTTCCTGTCGATTGTGACAACGGCTATCACGGCCGATCACCCAAAGTTAATCCTTGATTTTATTTGCTTGAGATAAGACAGTAGTCGTTCCCGAGTTCCTATTGGGTGGACATGAGGGTGAGCTCCACACACTGTGTTGTGTTGGCTTCGCTACATCAAAGCTTAGTCTGTAGAGCCCGACGCAGTCATGGGCAATTTGTCATATGCCATACACAATAGAAGGCAGCAGAGCGTTGTCCCAGGTAATAAATAATTACAATAATAATTAGAAGATGATTACCGGGTTCAGGTGTAGAACTTATTATCAATAGTAGATTAGATGGTTTGGGGAATTGATTAGTTTATCGACGCGCCTTTGTCACATGTGCTGGTGCTAATCACCTTAATTGGATAATTGGTTGGGGTGACATACCTGGCTGCTGGTTGCCATGAGGATCAACACACATCCCTATTAACAGCCCATAATTGGAGGAGAAAGTATCATTTACGAATATGTTGTTGCGAAAATTACGGGGAAGTTTTTTTCTCGGTCTGTTATAGATGGCATTGATCTCTTTGTTAATTAGATGGCGTTAATATGATGACATAGTCATTATTTCCAAGTCAATTAGTCACTGCAGCGATGGTAATGAAGCAGCACACGTACATTAAGGCTCTGGTTATGCTCCACAAACCTTCTATTGACCAAGCTGAATTCAAATTTGGCTTGAAAACATGCACGTGCGAAATGTGCTAAAATATTAATGCGGCTTGTATACACCCGTGTCAACGCTTGGTGGCGTGAGAAATTACTCCTTATATCTTCTTGGGCAGAATTTGTGTAAGCTGTTGCAGCATTGTCCCCGGTAATGTGACCTTAATGTATATTCCTGAATTATAATCTCTTGGTAAGTATCAGACAAAGCACGAACCGCAGCTCTTTATGAATGAAAAATATGGTGCCTTTATATGATCACTAGAACAGTCTTTTCAAATACACAATGCTTACTGTCTTTAATCATTTTAGTTTGAATAATTCCGAATTAATCATGTAACTAAGGATATCTAATGAATTGTGTGAAGACGGTAAGGAGAATAAAGAGCCTCGGTATATATAATGCCGGTTAAACATGAATGTAAGAGGGGTCTTCACGTTAATGCGTACATACACATTAATGCTGTTTTTGTAACGTATACATAGTCGAATCATTTAGGGCTTTGGCGAATGAGAGAGTTAGTTTAACAATATTCCAGCAAGATCACGGCGGATAGATCTGTGGAAGTTCAGCAGCAAATAAGAAGAAATCAATGTTAGTTTGGAGTTTAAGGGTATAACATATACTTGTCCTTGGGTGTTATTGTATGTGAGAATCCGGACCTTATGACACCTCAGTCCCTCAGGGAATCAAAGGGTTGCGTAACGCAATAGTTCATGACACATATATGCATAACAAAAAAGATAGGAAGCAAAATATTTCCTTGCTGCCATCCTATTCTCAAATTCAGGAAGGGCAGGAAATGAGAGATGTTCTAATAATTACTTTCATGGTGAGTAATTCTGTCGTATCTATTTTCATCACGGTGATGAATATCTTTGTTTTTCCTTTTGGGTTTTATTCTGGTTTGTGGTTATAGTTTTTTATTCGTCTTATGTATGCTTTGTTCTCCTAAATACCTCATTATTACGCGATGCTATGATTCATCAAAACGCGAGGGTTCAGATTAATTGTATACGCTTGATAAATGACAGATTTTTTTGTCGTTAGTTTTGCCATACATGATTAAATGGCCACTCACCCTAAACTATTCCCAGTCAGTTGATGGAAGTACACTAAAACTCAAAACATTCGCCCATTTATTTGTCTAAACAAACAGAGTGTGCCCATACGGTACGGCGCATCACAGCGTGAACAGCAAATTGGTTGAAAAATCTTTAAAATCAGAATGACAGCTATGCTGTGCATTTGGTGTGGACAAAACTACTCGGCCGTCTGGGTGGAAGAGGGATAAGGCGGAAACATTCATTGTGTGCAATGGTGAAGCAATTTAGTCCCTGGCTGCACTTGAACAGATAAACCCTTGAGCACGTATTGACGTTCAAGGCCATAGTTCTTATTTAAATCTGAAAATTAAATTTTCTGTATGTCATTATCGTGTCTGAAATTGGCCATGGTGTATTCTCTGTTTGTCTACAGCGTCTTTGAAGCTTGTACTTTTCGATCTTCTCTTTCAGTTTCATGGATAAGTCGAGCTCACTGATTGGGAAAACTGCTCCCGTTTATTAATGCAACGTGTCAAAATATTGAAAATTAAGGTCGTTCAAAGTCGTAGACGCGTCTTGGTTGTACACAATAACATTTTAAACAGATCCTGTCAAAAAAGGAAATTGTCGTTACGGACTAGATAGCTGTAATGAATTATTTATAGGATCAAATTGACAGATGAATCATTTTCCTGTTCTTATTTTTCTGACTTTTAAAGGCAAATCAATCTTAACAGATTCTAATTAGGTGGAGCGACATTCTGGCAACACCCATGTGAGTGAAGGTGCAGGCAACCCCCCACATCTATTCAAACTTAAATGCTTGATGAGATTGTATTCACCTGTGCTATTAATACTTAATGTGCCACTCAACAGTATTGTATTCCCCTTTTACTTTTTGCACCTGTCGCTAATTGAATATTTCGGTTGTTTCCGATGAAAACATTATTACCGGAGATACACGACGTTTTACGACGTTATCCGAACGTTAATGATGTCATCAACTGGAGAAATCGAGCATGCCAATTCACGTCTAAGGTTGATTCAACAAGCTTATCTAAACTATAACCTGTCATAAGGGAAATATGACGCATGCTATCAGTCCCATTCATTGTTGCTGCCAGTGAAATTGAGGTAATTGAGCCAGATATTATATATCAAGGTGCTCGTTGTCTCTGTTGGGACCTACCATACAGGCCATAAATATATCAAAGTGTGTATATAACTCACTATAGATCTATTTGTAAAAGACAATGGAATACCTTGTTAGGGGAGCAGTATCTACAGGGCCGAATTTGTAATATACAGCATACTGAGTATCTTCCGAAAGACAGATAGTCCACTTCTACAAAACGATACGATGTCATGGGTGCCTTTGAGGGGTGACATTTTATTGTTTTTATCTATAATGAAAGCTGAATTGGCGATACTCGGTAGCCTTTGTGGGGTACGGTAGGGTATATTGAGCCATAATCGGGAGGCACGAGCAATTATCACCCGTGAATAAGTGGACGATTGACAGGTGCGTGCCCCGAAAGTCAGAAATACAAAATGGCGGGTACTTGCCACCTGCTCAGTGTCAGATATGACTGGACGTGTTTCACGGCAATGACAATGACCACTTACGTCACGACTGCAACAGTTATAGATATTGAGTGCGATCTGGCACTGGTTGTGGAAACATCAAAGCTTTACTGCAATATTCTTATACATCTTGAACTCAAGTTTAATAGTCCTTCACATTTAACATTAGATACATTACTTTCATGGGAGCATTTTACGCCATTTTATTGAGGTGGTTAGCTCAAGTACATCATTGTATTCCAACCAAGTGGCAGTCAGGACTTGTACCCTCAAAATGATCGGTAATTCAAAGATGGGATAGGTTTGATGTAAACATATTTTATTCCATAATATAGACATATTATCCAGCTAAGGAAATTTGAACTCTACAGCAATCATTCACAATTAAACAAATAAAACTGATATGAATACAGGAAAACAGAATAATAAATAGGGAACATAGATATGTCATTACATACATGGTACATTTGCATCGCCTTTAAGCTTTAAATACTGTGGATTATTACAGCATATTTAAAGGCTCTATATCACACCACACTTCTCTAAAAATACATAATGCATTTCTCTCAATAATACTAACTATCACCCCTCAGGGAAGCTACCTTGTAATTTATTTATTTTTAAATCAAGTATTTAGCTCACAATATTAATTTATTAAGTTTGAATGAATTAATGCAACGTTGTATTAAATCGACTCTCGCGCTAACTAGCATTATTCCAAGCGAACCCCATAGTGTTATGTCCCTTGGAGCACTCTTTACGAATATCCTACGCACAACTTGTGATTGATATCAGTTCGGCAAATACCGACAACATCGCGTGCGACAGTTTTCAATGGTTTAGATTCCATATATGGCAAGTGTTCCCTGTTTGGAAACTGTTCGCCTTGAAGTTTCAGTTATCAATTTCATGCAAGTCGTAAGTGATAATAAGTCTTTCATTGCATAAGCTAAAGTGAGTGCATATGCCCCATATATATAATAGAGGTCAAAATATTGTCGAAAAAGTGTGGCATTGTGTCTTTGAGTAAGGCGGTGAAATCACTTTTCACAGGAACTCATTGACACACCCATTCCAGAGATATCAACGTTCACAGCTAGAGCTCCGGGAACTCAGGTACACACCTAAATTATTGCACTTGGCGAAATACATTTAGAAAACGGAAAAATAGTATTAATTATTTCAATAACTAGAAGGAAAAGAAAACTGAAGAATCTTTACACAGACATGTGTGTGCGAGCGTACGTGCGTGTGCGTGAGTGTGTCCGTCAAGTGTATAGTCCTAAATGTCATAAACACAAGTTGGGACAGACACATCAACTTAGGTTTGAAGCCGAGCCAAGCAAGCAGGGTACTCACGCACTAGTAAACATCTAGGGGCAGGGTTTGTTTGGTCCTTATGTCAGGGTTATATTTCGTAATAAAAGTTCATCCCACTTTAATAATGGTTGATCTTTTTGAATATTGTCATCCAAATAACGACTCAACCCCGGACACTCAGCCTCTCTCAGGAGAAGTAACTGCAGCAAGTTGTTGTGATTACTGACAGCGATTACCTCCAACTTAGTGACATACAGCTTGTAGATTACAGAGTGAAATCTACAACCTGCGTCATGTCAATCAGACTAGGGATGTGGGTATCTAGAGTCGCATGTGAATAGCCTGCAACTTGACTATAGTGACGTGGTTTGTGACAGGTTTATTGTCGACTCAACTCCTGGTCTACATACGCGAGTCCTCCACCACACTGCCTTCATCGTCAATAGCAAACACTGCTGTTTACAGATGATAATCTAACACTTCAACAGTCATGGCTAATCA